GGTATTCTATTCCAGAATCCAATGTAGGATACTACTCCGCATTTAGGAACAAATACTTTAAAAACTTTTATGCATATTAAATTTTCTCCAGAAATGTAGCTTCAGTCTAATTGCCAACAGCAGTATATGAATGCTTCTCTCTTATCAATATTTGGTATTTTCCTTTTAAGATGTATCTTTAAAATTTGATGGGTAAAAAATGGTATCTTAATGTTTTAGTTGCATTTTCAATGAATTTAAACATTCTTTCATATATTGGCCATTTGTATTTTCAAAATTTTGTATGTCTTTCACCTATTTTTATTTATTTTTTTTAGTAGGCTCCGTGACCAATGTGGGGCTTGAACTCCCGACCCTGAGATCAAGATCCCATGTTCTATCCACCAACCCAGCCAGGAAGCCCCTCCCTATTTTTAAAACTGGGTATTCTACTCACCGAATTATAAGCACTCTATATATTAGGAATATTAAATTTTTGTCAAGACTGATATAATTATTTTTGGTGATTTGCCAACTGTCATTTTAGAACACGGGAGTTTTCTGTTTTTATGTCATCAAATCTACTCTGCTTTATATTTGTGATTGAATGTATTTTTGATGCTTAGAAAAGTAGCTCCCATTCCCATAGCAAATGTTTCATAGATAGATACTTACATATATAGAATATACATACATACAATGTTATTTCTATTTTTTAGACCTCTTAGATTTGGGTATATGAAAAGAGAGAAAATGTGTTATTTTTTTTTAATTTTTATGTAATCAGCCTCCTTTGAGCTGTTCTCATTTTTAAAAAAGAATTTATTTATTTATTTGAGGGGGCGGGGAGTGAGCACAAGCAGGGGGAGCAGCAGGCAGAGAGAGAAGCAGGCTCCCCGCTGAGCAGGGAGCCCGATGTGGGGCTCGATCTTAGGACCCTGGGATCATGACCTGAGCCGAAGTCGGACGCTTAATGACTGAGCCACCCAGGTGCCAGAAAATGTGTTATTTTAATTTTCTAAATAATTAACCAATTGCCCTAGCACTTTTTTTAATGATATTATTTCCTGTTCCTTCATGGTGTGATGCCACTTTCATACTAGAGGATATGGGTTTATTATCTCTATTCTGTTTTGCTGATTCATCTGAATATTCTGATGTTAGTATAAAACTGTTTAGTAATTCATTATTTTAGTTTTTTAAGATTTTATTTTTTTGAGAGAGAGAGCACAAGCGGGGGGATGGGCAGAGGCAGAGGGAGAAGCAGGCTGCCTGCTGAGCATGGAGCCCCCCTTTGGTGCTCAATCCCAGGACCCCAAGATCATGACCTGAGCTGAAGTTAGACCCTTAACCAACTGAGCCACCCAGGTGCCCCTAGTAATTCATTATTTTAAAAGTATTGACCCAGAAATAAAAAGCTCATCTATATGGTCAAATAATTTTCGACAACGGTACCAAGATCATTCAACAGGGAAAAGATAGTCTCTTCAACAAATAGTGCTGGGGAAACTGTAACCACATGCAGAAGAATGAAGTTAGACCTTACCTTACACCACATACAAAAATCGGCTCAAAATGGATCAAAGACCTAAACAAAAAAGCTGAAACTGTAACATTCTTAGAAGAAAACAGGGAAAGTTTTGTGACGTTGGATATGACAACTATTTCTTGATAGGACACCAAGGTATGGGCAACAAAAGAAAAAACAGACACATTGGATTTAATCAAAATTAAAAACTTGTGCATCAAGTTTTTTAAACTGGCAGGAGGTGGAGCAGATTGTAGGAGCTGAGGGTTTAAATAAACAGAGTAACCATAAATAGTGAGGAGGGCTTGGGGGAACTGGGTGATGAGATTAGGAAGTGCGTGGGCTGCTAGAACGAAAATACCAGACTGGCTGTCCTATAAGTAACAGAAATGTATTTCTTACAGTTCTGGAGGCTGGAAGTCCAAAATCAGGGCAGATTCGGGATCTGCTGAGAGCCTACTTCCTGGCTCACGATCGGCGGTCTTCATGTTGCTTCTCACGTGGGGGAGGGGCGAGGGAGCTCTCAGGAGCCTCTTTCGTAAGGACACCAATCCCTTCATGAGGGCTCCATCTCTAGCTAGATCTCTGCTAGATCTCTCTCTAGTCACCTCCTCGAGGACCCACTCCAAACACCATCACATCGGGATTAGGTTTGCATATGAGAATTTAGGGGGGACACAAACATTTAGGCCATAGCAGGGAGTTCTCCAGAAAGGCCACGTTAGATAGGAGGTGACCTCTGGGCTATGAGGAAGCAGGAGGAAGAGTACAACAAGGAAAAAGCCGGCAGGGGGCTCATCTGTCGGCAAAACCCACAGGTTGAGGTATTTTAACAAACTCCTCTCCCAGAGCTGAGAAGTGTAAGAGAGTACTCCATACTTCGCCAAAATGGGCTCATGTAGACTCATCCCTCCCTCAAGCAACGCTGGATTGGGGCGTGGGAAATCAGAAACCTGAGCTGCGACAGTCCTGAGAGTAACTGTGCTCTGAGGGGATATTTTACAAGAATTATCTTCCAGTTTAAAGCCATGTTTCCGTCACATTGTGACCCTCTCTCTCTTTGGAGGTCTGCTCCCTCCTCCATTTCCTAACTCGACATGTAGTTTAAAAAAATTTTTTGTTTAGCAGTTAAAACAAGAAACAAAAAACCAGACATGATACCATTTCAGTTAAAACTGAAAGTTTAATAAAAGCACCAAAAATTATGCTAAAGATGAGGATTAAAAATTAGGCATTAGGAAGATATATAAAACAAAGTACTATTATTTTTACACTTCAAATAAATCATAAGGTACAAAATCATAAAATGCCAACATATACAAGGAAGGCATTAACAGTCCTTTCAGTGACTTACCATATAAAGATGTTTTTAAAGTGCTACAGTCTGAGGCATTACATTTAAGAGTTTAATGAACATCTGATTTCAACAGAATCTCACAGAACAGGTTTGTTTGTTTTTTTCAAGTAAGCTACAAACTGCTTGGTTAGGAATGTTGAAAATGTATGTATAAATTAAGGAGTAATAAACTTGCTAATGCCAAATTATTAGGGCAATTCAAAAGCATATAAAATTCCAGATGAGGAACAAACTGTCCTGCTCAAGGTACCGTGTAACCACACACCATCATCTCATCACAAATCTAGACAACCACTCCATTTGCTCACAATTCCTGGGCAGTTAGTTTATTTGGTTTGGTTTCATGTTTTTGTTTTTTTTTAGTTGACAAAAGTCCTCAAGGCACCTAGAGATCTGCCTGTACCTCATCCATCTGCACTGAAAACGCCGAGTAGACTCCCATGGGATCAGGTGACAGCAATACAGGGCAGTGGTAAGGAGAGAACACTCCAGTCACAAGGACTGGTAGGTCTGAAATGAACAACGGGACCTTCTAACTAGGTACCTTCACTTCCCTGACGCTCAGCTCTGGCAGCTACAAAATAACGTCTTAATAGAGTTTCTGTAAGAATGATGTAGGTGTACAAGGCAAGCACTAAGTATGGTGCCCGCAGGAGGGAAGGCTCAAAACTGTGGGTGCGCATCTTATTATCGTGGTTACTTGTCTATCAGGAGAACTATGGGAGAATCCAGGAGAGGGCTGGTCATTCTTTGGAGCATGCCCTCATTGGGGGAAATACTGGCAGGGTTATTCCTCTGGGTACAGGTCTGCTCAGACACTTAGCCTCCTGGCCGCACGCAGCAAAAGGCCAATAGCTCCCTTATCATTGTGATAACCAAAGATGCACTTACACACTTCTAAATACCCCCTGAAAGGGGTCAGTGCCTTTTTTGAGAACTGCTCTTCTGAAGGGACCGTCTTTATTAAGGAACGATGTAGGTCTCTTAACAAGATTAAGAATGCCTCTGTGTCTCTGAGAGGTACTAAGGTGAGAGATATCTGGAGCCCGGAGCCCGGTGCAAGAGAGAGAACCATAGTCTGAATCCTTCCCTGAGGAATCCCGGTATCAGAATTCCCAAGCTCACCGTTCAGGGCTCAAGTCAAAAGGCAGAGCTAGATCTCTGCAAGCAGCTCAGCAGAGAGGAACTCCGAGCTGTGAAGCCATGAAGCCACTTCTTCAGCCAAGCCTCACTGTTGCTGTAGTTGAAACAGAAGGCAGACAGACACATCCAAACAGCCTTTCCTCTCCATACCCGACAAGGGCACTTGAGTTTGTGTCTACAAAATGCAAAAAACTAAATCACAAACGAAAAGATAACAGCTACAGAACAAGCCTCCCCCCTCCCAAGACCAACATAGGATCTGTGCAGAGAAAAGCTCTAACTCATCATGACCGAAACCCACATCTTTCTCTGGCAAAGTATTCAAGTCAGAACCCCACTTTTGTGCTGTCATAGGTCTTGAGCTGGTGGGTCTTCCTTCGGCTTCTTCAGTACTTAACAGTGTTTTGGTGATGTCAGGAAAGACATGCGGCATTTGACCTTCCTTAGTGCTGAGAGAGGAGAGAAGGCACGTTTTCTTAAACTCATTTGACACAGGGAATGACTGAGGCACTGAGTGATGAGGAGGAATGTTCACTGGTGGAAGCCACAGGGGATAAAATCCAGATCTCCTGCTTCCCAAGCCGGCACTCGGGTCCCCATCCCCTAAGTCACAGACGGGCGTCACTAGAGTGACGGGAAGTGTCCTGCTGAGGAATCTTCCATGATGCAAGCTCTATCCATGTTCTGGTCTCCCTCTCATCTGAGCCTACCCTGGGGCCACTGCGTTGCTGGGTCTGCCGTCAACTGCAGAAGGAAGAATCTGTTGAGGAAGAAATGTATTTACATTCTCTTCTTTTTTTTTTTTTTTTAAGAATTTATTTATTTATTTGACAGAGAGACAGCGAGAGAGGGAACACAAGCAGGGGGAGTGGGAGAGGGAGAAGCAGGCCTCCCGCAGAGCAGGGAGCCCGATGCGGGGCTCGATCCCAGGACCCCGGGATCATGACCCGAGCCGAAGGCAGGCGCTTAACGACTGAGCCACCCAGGCGCCCCTACATTCTCTTCTTGGATGTGTTCTTTATCTCTTTGAAATGATTATATTAAATGGGTGTGGGGCTACAGTTAAACCATATCTTCCAGTCAGGATGGGCTTCTTAGAATTCTTGGGTAAAGCAAATGTGAAACTCTGCATTAGGCTCACGAACATCAGAAATAATTCCATCTTGGCCAGTTGTTCTCCCATACACACCCGCTTCCCTAAATAAATGAGATCAGAAGAAAAAGTTGGGATTATAATTCTGGCCGCTCTTCCTATCTCGAGATCAGAGCAATTTTATATGAAATATCTCAATTAAGTGTTTTAAATGCAGATATAGAGAGGTTGGTTTTTTTTTAAGATTTTATTTATTTATTAGAGAGAGAGCACAAGCAGGGAGAGTGGCAAGCAGAGGGGGAAACAGGCTCCCCACTGAGCAGGGAGCCCGATGCGGGACTCGATTCCAGGACCCTGGGATCATGACCTGAGCCAAAGACAGATGCTTAACGACTGAGCCACCCAGGCACCTCTAGAGAGTTTTAAAATAAAATGGCCACATATATACCTCATGGCTTCCCAAAGAATATGCTGATCAGAATTTTTACATACTAAATTCACATTTTAACTCCTACTCATGAAAACCTATCCTTGTTCTAGACTGGAACTAGAGACAGATCCAAGCTACTCTGTCTCCTCCATACCTACTTATCTCTTTCCTTTGCTCTTACCTGGAAGATCAAAGAGAAAATGAGTCAAATGAGAATCCCTGGAGCATTCCTTTTTTATAGAAAGAATCCTACATGTGTTCCTCCAGCTGTCTAAAAGAGGGACTGGTGAGGTTGGAGAACCCAGCCTCTCAGCCACCAGCCCAGCAAAAGATCACAAGTTGCTCTTAACACCAACAGTTTCCTGAGACTCAAATAATCACTTGGGCAGCTCAGAAAGGGAGATTTCTAGTCATATTTAAGGATTTAAAACGAATGCTTTAATTTTGTTTTTAAAATCTGAAATGAATGTAGCGGGGCTGTATTATCTTGATTATTTACCTCTTCTCTTATATTTGCTTGCTAAGAAAGAAATATTTTTAAAGATTTTATTTATTTATTTATTTTAGAGAGATAAAGAGCATGAGCCGGGGGGAGAGGGAGAGAGAGAGAATCTCAAGCAGACTCCGCACTGAGCTCAGAGCCCAACGTGGGGCTCAATCTCACAACCCTGAGATCATGACCTGAGCCGAATCAAGAGTCAGATGCTTAACCGACTGAGCCACCCAGGCTCCCCAAGAAAGAAATATTTTTAAAACAATATCATGAAATAATAGAAGATTCTTTTAGCTCTACCTCTTTAATTATGCCATTAAAAAAATAAAAGTTTAACTGACCTATCCCAAAAGGAATAAATGTTTCTTTTTTAAAAAGTTGTCCTTGATCATCCAGAAATCGATTAGGGTAGAAATCATCTGGTTTCTCCCAAATGGCTGGGTCTCTGTGTACTGACCACAAGTTGGGTAATATCACTGTGCCTTTAGGAATAGTATATCCTTGGAGCACTAAAACAAACAAACAAAAGAACCCAGTGTCATTAAACATGTTCTTACTAATAGTTTTCCCTAAACATCACTATCTGAAAAAGAAATCTAGTTACATACCTAGCTACTTAATTTGTGGAGACTAAACATTGAGGTGCTGGAGGGTAGGGGCCAGACCTAATCAACTGGCATGCTCTCCACGTGCTCTCAGGACCCAGCCTGAGATAAGGCACAGGATTTGCTTTAACAGATGTTGAATTAATGAATTAAATCAAACCAGAAAAACATTTCAAATAAGAGAAAACACTGAAATGGAAATCATAGGACCTTCCAGGTAAACTTTCCAAAGAATTACAAATTTTGTGATATTAAAAAAAAATCATAAGAGAAAATATATTTATAATACTGTAGTGTAAAAAATTTGCACATAGGAGGACCCATATGGTTCAAATTCATGTTGTTCAAGAGTTAACTGTATTGTATGGTAGTAATTGATAAAATAAATTATATCTACATCTGTATTTCATGCATTCATGGTATACTGTTTTCTTAATTTCTTCAGTATTTCTAGGCTACACAGTTCATCTGTGAATTTTTTCAAATTGTCACAAATCCCCCAATATTTTTCCAATATTTTTACTAAGAAAAGTCTGCATATAAGTGGACCCACGATGTTCACACCTGTGTTGTCCAAGGGTCAACTGTACAGGGAAGTCAACACAGGCTTTCAGCAGCTGACAAGTTCACATGCACTTTAAACAGTGCCCAAAAGATACAGCTCACACAGTGCATCTAACTTGGACCGAAGAAAACATGAAGTGATCCAATGTCATTTATAAGTTATTGCTTCCTACAACTGTCTTATAACTATATTTAAGCCGGTTACATCATGGGCTGTCTCCAGAGGAGGTAAGTTCCTTCTTATGAGGGATTTTACATAGAGTCTGGTTGCTTATGTGTCAAAGACATGACACAATGGACACATCTCCGTGTAGGTGGGAAGTTGAAACAGGTGCCCTTGGAATCAGAAGGGCTCTTCTAATTCATATTTGTGCTTCAGCTGTAGAACTGTAAAAGGTGAAGTAGGATAATTCCCAATTAAAATACTTAATTTCATATTTAGACGAGCTCTTCTGACCTTCCAAGAAGACAGAGAGGTGCCTTTGTTAATTCCGGCGTTTTTCCTGCCAATATACCCATCTTAAATGGTAGAATTTGCTTGACAGTGTAAGTGCGCATGCTCTGAAGTCCAGAGAGCTATTTAGAAAACAAGCCGGGTGGGAATGCCAGTGAATGAATAATAGACAACCGAGGGCCGAAATGTTCCCTGGATGTTTGATTATCCATGACACGGTGTGAAACCCTCAGAATGGTCAGCACACTGTCACTTCAACTCCTTTGGATTAAGGCCCAGACTTCCCTCAAGGGCACTCAAAGGAGAGAGATCCCAGACTTGCCTGTTTTCTCCGAGGTCATGTGAGGAATGGCAAGCGGCACCACCACCGTCAGCCTCTGGACCTCCATGATGGTGGCTTCCGTGTAGGGCATCTGGGCCTTGTCAGTGAGGGAAGGGACTCTGTCAGCACCAATGACCCTTTCAATTTCTTCCTGAACCTTTTCTATTACAAAAAAAAAAAAAAAAAAGGAAAGAATAACAAATAGTAAGCCAGAAGATAAGGCAGGAGAATTGAGACTGCCGTCCTATGCATACTTGCCATCACATCATACCCACAACTGCTAAGCTGGCAGTTCAGACCTGACTCAGCCTCGGAGAAGTGAAGCATTGGTCACATATCCAAGTAGAGGCGGCTGGTCCCAGGGACCCGGTACCACCTTGTGACTTGGAAAGTGGCCAGCAGAACAGATAGATGGGTAAGGGAGAAAGCATTCTGGAATTAGGGAGTGCTCTCAATCATTCTCTCATATGAACAGGAGACTGACTCTCTCAGTCAGACAACGTGAGGTAGCCCAGCATGGCCCCCAGGGGTCCCTGCCTCTCGGTGTTCACATCCTGGTACGGTCCCCTCCCACCAGGTACCACACTGGTCTGTGTGACCAACAGAATAAAGAAGAAGTGACGGGGGGCGCCTGGGTGGCTCAAGGTCATGATCCCAGGGTCCTGGGATCGAGCCCCGCATCGGGCTCCTTGCTCAGCGGGAAGCCTGCTTCTCCCTCTCCCACTCCCCCTGCTTGTGTTCCCTCTCTCTCTGTCTCTCTCTCTCTCTGTCAATTAAATAAATAAAATCTTTTTAAAAAAAAAAAGGAGAAGTGACGGCGTGTCAGTTCGGAGCTTGGGTCATAAGAGACACTGTGGCTCCTGTCTGGGTACTTGCTCTCTTGGGTCACTCGCCTTGAGGGAAGGCAGCTGCCAAGTCAGGCGGCCTTATGGAAAAGTCCAAGTGGTAAGGCCTGCAGCCAAGAGCCAAGTGGACAAGCCATCTTAGAAGTGGACCCTTCAGTCTCAGTCAGGTCTGCAGATGGCTGAAGCTCCAGCCAACATCTCGACGACAACTTCCCAAGAAATCCTAAGCCAGACCAACTGGGCGAAGCTGCTCTTGGATTCCTAATCCCCAGAAACACTGTGAGATAGTAAATGCTGTTTTAAGCTGCGAAATTTGGGGATAATTTGGTACTCATCAATAGTTAACTAATGTGGGAAGCATAATCTCATTTATAATAGACAGAACATGGCCCCTCAGCGATGTCCACACCCCAACTCCCCAGAACCTATGAATATGCTATTTTACGAGGCAAAAAAAGACCCTGCAGGTGTGATTTGATTAAGGGCCATGAGATGGGGAGATGACCCTGGATTTTCTGGGTGTGCACGAATTATATGGGCTTTCAAACTGAAGAACTTTTCCCAGTTTAGTGTCAGAGGGAGATTTGAGTCAAAGAAAATTGGTGAGAAGAGCTGCAATATCCCTGGCTTTGAAGATGGAGGAAAGGGGCCAGGAGCCAAGGGAGCTGGAAATGGGTCTTCCCCTAGAGCCTCCAGAAAGGAATGCCGCCCTGCCAACATTTTGATTTTAGTCCAGTGAGACACGGACCTTCAAGATAACAAATTTGTGTTGATTTAAGTCACTAAGTTTGTAGTGATTTGTTATAGGAGCAATAGAAAAGCAATACACTGTCCTCTTTTGTGGTCTTCCACTGTGAACTGCCAGACACTACCTATTGGTATCGATATGGTAGAAGTAGCTCTGTGATCTTGGGAAAGTCACATAACTTCTCTAGGTCTCTGTTCTCCATTTTCAAAACAAGATGACTGGGTTCAGATAATCACTGTAACTCCCGTTAGCTCTAAATTGTCCTTCTTTTCTAAAAAGTCTTCCTCTAGCATACATTTCACACAGAATCAGACCTGTAGAGATTTAAAGCAGGGGCAAGAAGGTATGACATTAGTCCCACTGTCTAGAAACTTCGGAGTTTCGCTGTTAACACCTTCCCAACTCCCTATGGGATTCAAGTATTTCCACTTTGTTTTCTGGCCTGAAGACACTGCTTAGTGCTAGGAGCCACAGGATTGCCCAAGTTGCTGATACTGATTTAAATAATCTGGCTTTGCCTGAATGAAGGAAACATCTGTTAATTACCTTGTACGTCGGGGTTCAGTGACATATACAGAAGGCACCAAAGCAAGGAGTTAGTTGTGGTATCAGTTCCAGCAATGAAGAGATCACCAATGATATAAAATAAGTAATCTTCATTAAAGCTACTATTGCTGTTATTTTTTCTCTCCTCCTCCACGTGGAGAAGGTACATGTCTATGAAGTCCTGAGGGTTCTCTACATCCAGAGACTCTCGATGGTCTTTGATGATTTTTTTAAGGAAAGTGGTAATATCCTTTTCGATTTGTCTAAATTCCTTAAATGGTCCAAAGGGAAGATAATAAAGCCAGGAGCATATGTTGACCAGGAGGAGCTGGGTGTTCAGACAGATTTCTAAGGCTCGTGACATAAGATGGAGCATTTTCTTAAACTCACTATTGGTGTAGTCAAAGCGCTGGCCAAAGCACAGGGAGCAAATGATGTTAGAGACGGCATTGTTGATGATGGGGAAAGGGTCGAAGGGGTCTTCTCCATGCTTCTGCATTTCCTCTTTCACATATTTAAACTCTTCAATAATCTTGGGCTCCAAGCTCAGCTTTCCCAAGCCAAAATGACGAAGAGTTGAATGTGAGAACTTCCTCTGCTGTCTCCAGACAGGACCGTAATGTGCGAATACAATCCCTGCAAAAGGACCGCGAGAAAAGAAGGTGAGAGAGAGCAATGCCTGACCCTACTGAGCAGGACCTACGATGAGGTGTGTTCCGTGTTTGTCAAGGCCCTTGTAAAAATTCAGCTACAGGTAGAGATTACCAGCCAAGAAGAATGATTAGCAAAGTTGAATTATCAAGCTAGTATAAGTTCCTAATAACAAAAATCATATCCGATAAAGCTTATTATGATAGGTAGGAACTCCTGGTGAAATGAAAAGCAATGAATTTCAGTTTCTAGAGTCAGTGTAAATTTCCAAATCCTGGGCTTCATAAGAGTAAATCCAGGCTTAAAAAATGCTTCAGGCTGGATATCCCCATATTCTCAGCATTCTGAATAGAAGGAGGGCAGGGATGTTATTGGATTGTGTGGACCATTAAGATCCCAGCTTCTGGCATCATTCTGGGGATACAGGAGGAGCTTGTTAAATATTAACTGAATAAATCAACACCCCAACTGGATTATAACCATAGCTATCAGTTTGGAACCGAATAACTGGCAGGTAGTCTCAATTGTCTGTTGCTGGCAACAACCCTAACTTAAAAACATCTGAACTCAAGGTCTCCACAACTCTACCTTATTTGATCCTCACTTATGTTATACATCCCCCATCAACAAAACCCAACATTTGATCCTCACTTATGTTATACATCCCCCAACAACAAAACCCAACAGAGCTGTTCTGAGATATTGTATCAAATTGTTTTCAAATACTCCTTGTTTCCAGTCACCTATTTCACCCTCTTATTTTCCATGGCGCCCTTTATTGTCCCAGCTGGTCCTCCTTTCCCATTTTTAATCGACTTCATTTCTGCTACTTTTGAGGACATGCTTCACGTATTTAACAAATATTTCTGAATGCCAACTGTGTGCCGGGCACCAAGATGCTGTAAATACAGACCCTTCTCTGTGGTTAAATCTTCTCACAATCTTTAATACCACCATAAAATGCCCTTCAATACACACATGCATGTGGTCAAACGAATCAATCTATCAGCTTGGCTTTTCTCCTTGGACTCTGCCACACATCTGCTCAGATCTGCAACGGCTGCCTTTCCAGATCTTCTGTTCAGGTATTTGGTGACTTCTGTGTGGCATTATTAGGAATTTTCTTAAACTCTGTGTTGAACCCATTTCCTGGATTCTACTTCTTCCTCTTCTAGTTTCCTTCCCTGATTTTGCTAAAGCAAAAATGCAGGGGAGGCAAATTTCTAAAGATTTTTTAGAAAATATATTTATTCTACCTTTTATACTTCCTCAGAATTTTGAAGACATTGCTAACAGTGGATTGATGAGTCATAAAATATGTACATCTTCAATGTACAGAAGACTTCCCAAGTTAGGCTATGAAGTGCTTACAGAACACTGTCTTAATCACTGTTACTTTTTTAAAATTTTTATTTATTTATTTACTTGAGAGAGTGAGAGAGAGTATGAGAGAGAGAGAGAGAGAGAGCACAGCAGTGAGGAGGCTTAGAGGGAGAAGCAGGCTCCCTGCCGAGCAGGGAGCCCAGTGTGCAGGGCTCAACCCCAGGACCCTGGGATCACGACCTGAGCCAAAGGCAGATGCGTAACGACTGAGCCACCCAGGCGGCCGATCACTGTTATTTTTAAGATATAAATAAGACTTCATAGTAAGTCTTAACATCTAATAGGGAGTCCCCCCTCCTTGTTCTCTTTCAAAATTGTTTTTTTATTATTATTATTATTATTATTATTATTATTCTTGGCTCCTCACTCTTTTACAAAACTTTAAAGTCAGCTTGTCAAGTTCTAGCAACAAAAAACTTTTGGGATTTTCACTGGAATTGCATTTAATTTATAAATTTGAAAATTACCTTCTTTCTGATAATTGAACCTACTTGCAATGCAAGAATAAATCCAATTTTGGTTATAGTGTTTTTATGGTTTTAATTGTTGGATTTGGTTTCCTAATATATTTAAAAGATTTATTTATTTATCTTAGAGAGAGAGCAAGAGTGGTAGGAGCAGAGGCAGAGGGAGAGAGAATCCCAAGCAGACTCTGCGCTGAGTGTGGAGCCCGGCACAGGGCTCAATCGCACAACTCTGAGATCACCACTTGAGCTGAAACCAAGAGCCAGACACTTAACCGACTGTGCCACCCAGGCACCCTCCCCCAATACTTTTTTAAATTCATACTCATAAGTGAAAATGGCCAATAAATTTCCACTCTCATAATATACTTGTCTGAATATACTGACCTCTTAAAATGAGCCAGGGTATATTCTTTCTTTCTGGAAGAATTTGTCTAAAATTATAATGATATGTTCCTTTTTTTTCTTTTATGCTTTTTTTCTTTTCCAGATATATAAAGTTCGTCATCTAACTCACTAGTTTTCAGACCTTTATTCTAATAACTCAAGATTCTACAGTTGCTTCTGAGTACCACATGAGCTAGAGTCCACAAGTATTGTTTGCATGTATTTTCATTATAATCTTGTTTAAAAATTTTTGTTATGTTTTTTTGCTACCTAAGTTAATTTGTCTTATACTGATTTTTGACATGAATGAGGCTTACTTTTTAGCCTAGTACGTGATCAATTTTAATAAAATTTCCAATAAAATTGAGAAGAATTTTTATCTAAATCAGTTGTTGGATCCAGGGTTCTCTATATGTCCAATAGAAAAGCCTAATATTGGAATCAAATCTTTTGTATCCTTAGCAAATTTTTATCTTCCTGCTCTCTCAATTATTCAAATACTTACATTAAAATATTTTAGTACAATGGTATATTTATCAACTTCTCTTTGCAGTTCTGCAAGTTTTGCTACATTATTTTGCTATATAGCTAGCTATATCTGTGTATCTATCATTGCTCTTAGGTACAAACTTAGGTACACGCGAGTTTAAAATTATTATACCTTCCCAGTTTAATAAAAAGCTTCCTTTATCATCATTTAATTCACTACTTCTTAACAATGAAGTTTGACTTAAAGTATACGTTGTCAAAAAGATACCAGCTTGGGGCGCCTGGGTGGGTCAGTCGTTATGCGTCTGCCTTCGGCTCAGGTCATGATCCCAGGGTCCTGGGATCCAGCCCTGCATCGGGCTCCCTGCTCAGCGGGAAGCCTGCTTCTCCCTCTCCCACTCCCCCTGCTTGTGTTCCCGCTCTCACTATCTCTCTGTGAAATAAATAAAATCTTTAAAAAAAAGACACCAGCTTTTCTTTTTAAAGTATTGTCTCAGCATAACATTTTCCTTTCTTTTATTTTGAATTTTAATGTACCCTTATGTTTGGGGTATGTCTCTTTTGGGGAAGGGTATGTCTCTTTTAAAATAACATACCTTTGGGGGTGCCTGGATGGCTCAGTCAGTTTCGGCTCAATTTTGGCTCAGGTTGTGATCTCATGGGCTGCTGAGATCAGCAGGGTCAGGCTCCATGCTCAGTGGGAGTCTGCTTAAGGATTCTCTCCCTCTGCTCCTCCCCCTGCATGCATGCTCGTATGTGTTCTCTCTCAAATAAATAATCTTTTAAAAATTAATTAATTAACATACATTTGGATTTAAAAAAATCCATTCTAACAAAAAAAATCTGTTCTAGCAATCTTTCAGCCAATTTATTCCATTTACTTTTAATACAGTTACTAATTTATTTCTAATATATTATTTTGAACTTTGTCCTACTTTATCTATTCTTTTTTCCCTTTCCTTTCTTGCCTTTTTTTGCATTAGAGAAACAGACTGAATCCTCACCCTTAAATTTTTAACACATTTACTTAAAGTCTAGATTAACGATCAGCAAACTTCAGCCCACAGGTCAAACCCAGCCTGCTGCCTCTTTTTATACGGCCAGTCAGCAAAGATGAGTTTTTGTATTTTTAAATGGTTGGAAAAAATCAAAACAATATGTCATGATATACAAAAAATATAAAATGCAAATTTTAGGGTTTATAAATAAAGGTTACTAGAACACAGCCAGCTAGTAAGCCACTGTAATTCATTTACATACAGTCTGTGGCTGCTTTGGCACTAAAATGGCAGGGTGGTTGCAGCAGGGATTGGAGGTAGGAGAGAACATTTTCTCTGCCAGGGTCCAAGCCAAGACAGAAAAATTTCCTTGTTTTCTTTTGTTACTGGTAGGTTTGTTGGGTGTTCTTTGTCAAATTCAATCTTTCACTCAAAGTGAAGCTCTTCAAGAGTCCTCTCTTTATCTAGAGGCAACTTTTCATCTTGTGTGATACAAGGTCATATCTCTCTGCCCTCACTCCACCCACTCCACATCCATGTCCAAGAGGTCACTAAAACCCAAGAGTGTCCAGAGCATCTACTTTCTGTTTTCTGAGGGAGTGGGTGTGGTGATAAGGAACTGGTCTAACTATATTTTATATGCATTTCAAACTCAGTGGCTCATCCCTGTCTCCTGTAATCACTGGTACCTCCAATTCCTGAGACTTTCTGGGGTTCCACAGGGTAAACTGTCTCACATTCCACTAGTACACCCCGGCCCCATGTAGACACTTAGGAGTGGTCATCCTCCACTCTATGAAGTCACTGGCCAATCCTAGGTCTACTTTTTGTCTTCAAATGTTGTGGTACAGGACTGTAGATTCATTTCACCATGGACAGAGTGTGTGCTTCTGTTAAAAGTCCCTCTAGTTTGGTGTGTGATTATCAAGACAGAGAAGATATGGAAATGTCTTAACCATTCCTAAAACTAGAACTTTCCCTTTATTCAATAAAGCCCCATAAACTATTCCTAGGCAACCACAGCTTAGTCACTCTTCCTGCATTTAACCATGGCCAAGTCTTGCTGCATTCAGCATTCAGACCCTAAGTGTTGTTGGACCACCTTCTTTTTCCTAACTTCAGGATTTGACACTACTTTTAACTACCATCTAATTTAAGGTATCACATATGACATCTTTGCTTTGTCCTATTTCTCAAGAAACTTTATTTTTCTTTTATTAGGTCCTCAGTCTGTATCATCTACAATCTTTCAACTATGCATTTG